TCGATATCATGACTAATGTAAATCTTATTACAAATCAGACAAATACAATAGCAATTCGTCGTGATTGGTTTAACCCAGACGCACACTGGGATTCAACACATGTGAACAATTGCCAGGCACAATGTAGAAAGGATAATGTTTTTTCACTCTGGGTTCAGTGAATATAAAACACTAATTTAAATTGAATATCCCTTTTAAGATTTAATATTGAAGTCTAGACATTAAGGTGAAATCACGTACCAGTATACTTCACTTTTGTTGACTGCTAAGTGGTTAATTATATCACACTTTGCTCACTTACAGGACAAAAGTTATCGAGAGCTGTGGACCTAGTAACTGAAAGATTCGACTCACAGAAATGGAAATTACTGGCACAATTTCTCGGAATACAAACAGAAGCAATTGATAGAGAGCGTATCTCCGTGAAAGACAAGTTACGTACAATGGTGCAGGCATGGAGTGAGAAGCACCAAGCACCAGCTCTTATCCCGATGATGAAAGACAAGTTAGTTCAAGCATTGAGGGTTGTCGGTGATGCCCAGTTAGCAAATGACATTGAGCATATTAGTATTCAAAATTGGACATTGTAAAAAATGTATTTAGACAGAATTCTCCTCAATGTATCACTATTTAGAACCCATACTATACATAACTCTCACATTACCTGGGAAAGTGCCTGTTGACAATTTGCAATGTGCAACTTGCATGAATGCACTTTGAGGAAACAAACAAATAAGATAATTAATAATAAAATTATAAAATAATGTGATGTTATTCAAATTTATTTTTACTAGTACTAATCCAACTACAATTATATATGTGCACCAGATTAGTAGGGACATGGATTTGAAGAAAAGATGATGAATTTAAAGAGAATACAGCGACAGTAATCCAATGATGTTGTATACATACTGAGAGAGGAGGGAGGGGTTACCAATGTTGTTGAGCTTATTTGGGCTTGGAGTGTCCATCCCTTTTAAAAAATCATCTGGTTTCTGATGGTGTCCATCTTGGAAAATATTAAGCACAGTCCAGAGTTGGACGTGGTTGATATCGTGATCTTTACTATTAACATTTTCCGCAATATGCTATCAATCATGAGCTCCTGACTTATAAATTGTCTTCATTCAGTATCCATGACAACTTATTATGTCAATTTGCATTTTATTTTATGAACATCATCAATAGCATCAGAGGTTCCGATGGTTCTAATCTGCGACCTTTGCTTTTTAATATATTTATAAATGATATATTGATTTATTATTTGCTGATGAAATGAAACAATTTAGAAATATTAATGACCAAGATTGTTGTATTGTTTTACATCTCGATCCTTTTTGGCCCAATATGTAAGCAAGAGTATTGGAAATATTTTATTTTAATTTGATAAGGTCAAAACTATATGTTTTGGCTGTATGGAATAATATCAGTAGGAACCAGATATTAAGATAACATGAACAACATGAATTGTTATTTTTTTTTACATAAGCAACTGACAGGTGTTTTTAAAGTATTATTCACAATGTCAGCATGAATATGTATCAAGGATTTATTCAATGACAGCATGCTAAGCCAGTCTTCAGCTTGACATTGCCTGTAGATTACAATGAGACCCTTGTAAATTGAGTACGATTGATTGTGTTTAATTCAATTTTTAATATAATATCGTGTGTGTTCAAGGGGCGGCGGTCGCAACGCCGTGTCCAGTGCGATATGGGACTCGTAGCGACGTACACAACGCGTGTAAAATATATTGTTTGTTTACATGAAATTCGAGCATGCGCTGTGCGAAGTCCACGCCCTTTAATGAATAATGTATATACGACATTCGGATATATTTTTTTTGAATCACTGTCCTTTTTTTCAGAAATGTATTGTTTGTATAACTTTATTTATTCAACAAGTATATATTCCAGAATAGTAGAAATCTTAAATTAAAAACATAATAATGTCACACCAAAACTCTGTATCGTCAATGTCCCGAAACTTCTAATGACATGACTCTAACGAAAATCACAATAGATTACCTACACTGTCATACACAATTCACCTTCTGGTTAATCCAATCGTTTCTCATGTTTTAATTAGCATGTTGTTAAAGATAATTTAGAATTTTCTTTGAAATAGAATTAATTCCAGCACTTTATGCATGGTAAGTAATCAATATTGGACATAACCACATGAGTAAATTACATTCAGATCTGCAATATATTGAACAAGCAAAAATTGACCCATTTCAAAGATTTGAACCACAGTTATAATATGACCAGTGTGAATCTAGCCATCTGATTGGCTGAAGCCAGGGTTCATATCTGAAATATATGACTCGGGCCCTGTTTGATGAATAATTAATGAAACAAAAGCTGGAATAAACTGGACTGAAATATGATAAATATTGTCGTCTGCAAGTCACTAGAGGCATTTTCAGAACATAGTAATTATGTCAGACGACGAGCCTCAGATCTTTGATCTCAATTTCAAATGGGACCAGCTGGATGAAATTGACGCTACTGATGAAGAACTTTTTCAAGCTACAATTGAATGGGAGCAACAGAACGCCGGTGGTAATAACGAGCCAGATCAACAGATGCCGGTGTCTGCCGAAGGGCAACAATTCCCAGAATTTTCTGAAGAAATGGCCGAAAACTTGGCAGCAAAGAAAAATGAAGTGAGTACTAGCGCCTCCACAAAATGGGGTGTGAAATTACTCAAATGTAAGTGTGATAAAAGTCAAAATCAAAAAAAAAAATAACATATCGTTTGTACCGGCGAACGCCGCCATTTTCGTTGTTGTTTGACCCCATGATGACCCAGTTTCCGTACTAAAATTAAGTTTTACTTTGTATAACGTGGTGTTCTGAACGGAAAATCGACCCAGACTTCGAAATGGTGGAAGTGCAAGAGCTGGCAAAAATATTGAAGCATTTTTTATGCCGAGGTCAGGGCTAGAGTCTAGACGGGATAGAATACAGCATAAGAAGCTAAGCTGGAATTCGAGCAGCTGAGCAATCCATCGCCACATAACCAATGTGCCATTCAATCACCCCATTAACATTATCAAAGATCGGGAATTCCAAGCTGCCAATAATGTATTTATAGGGAAAGTAACAAGTTTGAAGCGTGTGGGGAAAGATAAAATCCAACACAAAACGGTTATCAGTGCGGGAGACATGAGTAAGATGTTTACCAGCCGGACACTGTCCGGCCGTGACCCGGTGTCCCTTTTACGTTTGGTGTGGTTTTATGTAGAATTTTTCTTTTGCCGAAGGAGACGGGAGGGTCGTCGGGATTTACACAAAGAGAGTTTTGTTTTAAAAAAAGATGACAGGGGACGGGATTATATCACTTTGGCCTATTTGGAAGCAACCAAAAACCACCCGGGGATTTGAAGGATGACTTTGAATCAGATAAACGGATTTACAAAACAGACTTCCCACTTTGTCCTGTTACGGTCATTCTAAATTATACATGTAAGCTTCACCCAAGCAATAATGCTTTTTTTCCAGCGGCATATTAGTAACCTTACAGGTAGGGAAACAACTTGATATACAAACGCTCCTATGGGTCACCATACTTTTGGGGAAATGATGAAAAAAATATCAGCAGCCGCAGAGTTGAGCATGCTGTACACTAACCACTGTGTGAGAGCAACCATTATAAAATCATTGAACGACGCTGGAATACCAACTCGGATAATCATGAATTGAAGTGGCCATCGGAATGAAGGGAGTATCAGGAGTTACTGTCGCGACAGTTATAGTGAACAAAAACGTCAGTGTAGTGACATTTTAATGTCAAAAGTTAGTGTTCCTACCGTCGATGAACGTGGTAACAATGACCTTCCGATGACCCCAGTTCCAGCGTCGTTCGGCCGTTAACATGGGGCATGGCTCAAGTACAGTGTCAGAGAAATATCTCCACAGGTGAAATGGTATGCTCAAGCTCAGTCGCCACAGAAAACCTGTTTAAAAACTGCAATTTCGGAGGCTCTGTATATGTGTATACTAGCAATTATATTTCTCCAAAACCAAACTAAAATCCTCGAAAACGACAACTTGACAAATTTCAAACCGCCATGTTCAAATTTACCACTCTTAACATTTGTTAATCCGCGATATTTATAATGCCGATTCATGTTTATATTTTTTCTGTTTTATATTTGTATAAACCTTTTCTATTTATTGACGATGTATTTTAAATAATAAACATTTGCAATTTCATAATAATCTGTTTTATCATTTTATCTTGGAATTACATGCCTGTGCGAACGTGTCTCGGAAAAAGTGTATGACGAGGCCCCAGAACGTGGTTATTTATCCTTCCCTACACTTCGTTTCGGAAAGATGCCGTATTCCCATTATATATTCAACGTTGTCATATTATAAGAAAGTTATAAACGGCACGCGAGGGTATTTGGTAGCGGATATAAGACGTCCCGGGACGAAAATTAGCATACTTGGCGGGAAATCACCGAGCGCACCTCTAAATAAATCATCAAAAGTCTAACGAAAATGCATTTTTACTGGAGCAGGAGGCACTACAATCATCCATCTGCCGCCAGGAATATACATGCCTAGTCAATTGAGAACTTTAGAGCCATCGATCATTCTATATATAACTGCTGATTCTATATATACCGCTAGAAGGCGCTACTGCAAAACATCTCCCCTTAGCAATCAAACTCACTGTTCATACGGAAAAATATATATCAGCAAAAATATTCTAGGACTGCATAATGGTTGAAAAGAAAAGAAAAAAATAACATGATCACACATACATCGATAAACAAAAAACAACTGGTCAAATGGTGGTAAATTAAACTAAGCTTGGTGATGTGTTTTAAATAATTGACCGATGCGTTGTGTTCGATTATCATCCGATTCGCACAGTTCAATTACCTTCTATAGTCATGCATCATCGTATGGGCATGCCAATCAACTGGATCCATCAATCAGCATTGCTTTAATAACAAGCCGCAACAATATTAAAAATCCACTAGCCATGGGGCTTGGCGTTCGAAATCCCATGTGAGCACGCACCTTTGTGTTTGTGTTCGTCAACAATGAATACAGGTTTATATAGAAACTTCTGCCAAGGTATAATGGTGAGACGACGAATAAAAAAACTTGGCTAGCAAAGATGGTGTTTGATTAATAGACAATTGTTTCGGGGATCTAGCATTATAACAATATGAGTGCCATGAATATTTTGAAAAAATATATATACTTTCACAAATTCTTCGATATGCATAGACCATTTTTACTCATGAAGATTGGTGAAATTTAAAAGATTTGTTTATCCAACAAAAATATTTCATATTCCGTGATAACCAGTATTCACTCAAACGTTACGACATAATAACAACATAATATAACACTACATATACATTGAGTGGACAGCTTTTGGTTGTCGTAATAAACTAGATAAGCAGCCAGTTTTAAATTGTTTCAATATTCATAACAAGACAGAAAGCAATTTTAGGGTTGTAAAACGAAAACATAAATAATAGTTCACTCAACTAAAATGGCACATTATAAATAAATGTAATTATAAAAGGAAGAAAAACATGAAAACATAATGTTATGTTATG